TTTTTTTTGCGTTACGCGGGCTTCTCACTGTTGTGGCCTCTCCCGTTGCGGAGCACAGGCTCCGGACGCGCAGGCTCAGCGGCCATGGCTCACAGGCCCAACCGCTCCGCGGCATGTGGGATCTTCCCGGACCGGGGCACAAACCCATATCCCCTGTATCGGCAGGCGGACTCTCAGCCACTGCGCCACCAGGGAAGCCCCCCTCTAGCAAATTTTTAATTTCAGTTATTGTGCTTTTTCAGCTGTAGAATTTCTTTTTGGTTCTTTTAGTTTTTCTATCTCTTTATTGATATTTCCATTTTGTTCATATATTATTTTCTTGACTTTTTCCACATCTTCCTTTAGTTTTTTGAATATCTAAGATGGAACATTTCTGTTGATTTAATTTTTTCCTTTGAATGGGCTATATTTTCTGTTTCTTTGTATGCCTTGTGATTTTTTTGTTGAATACTGGACATTTGAATCTAAAATATAGTAGATCTGGAAGTCAGATTCTCCCCCTTCCCCAGGGTTTGCTTTTTTGTTGTTAATGTTTTTGTTTTTTTATTGTTGTGGGCTGTCTCTGTGCCAAGGATTAGCCTGAGATGTAAACTCAAGATCTTCTTAGGTCTTTCCTGATCCTGTACTTTTCCCCAAGTGTATGTGGTCAGTTTCTAAATTTTCCTTGTGTATGCAGTTGCTTTTGAATGTCCTAGTCTTTCTCCCCAGCTTTACTGAGATATAATTGACATAATATTGTGTAAGTTTAAGATGTACAGTGTAATGATTTGATATATGTATATATTGCAAAACAATTATCACAATAAGGTTAGTTAACACATGTCATCTTACATAGTTATAATTTTTTTGTGTGATGAGAACTTTTTAGACTTACCCTCCTAGCAACTTTCAAATATATGTATAGTATTGTTAACTATGTCACTGTACTGTATGTTGCATCCTCAGAACTTATTCATCTTATAATTGGAAATTTGTCCCCTTCAACCACCTTTACCAATTACCCCTTCACCATTCCCCTGCCACCATACCCCTGGCAACCACCATTCTGCTCTCAATTTCTATTAGTTTGACTTTTTAATAGATTCTACATGTAAGTGAGGTCATACGGTATTTGTCTTTCTTTGACTTATTTCACTTAGCATAATGCCTTCTGTTTCATCCATTGTTGCAAATGGCAGGGTTTCCTTCTTTTTTAATGGCCAAATAATATTCTATTGTGTATATATACCACATTTTCTTTATCCATTCACCTGTTGGTGAACACTTAGGTTGTTTTCCTGTCTTGATTATCCTGAATAATGCTGCATTGAAAATGGAGATGCAGATAATCTCTTTGAGATGGTGATTTCATTTCCTTTGGGTATATACCCAAAAGTTGAATCACTGAATCATATGGTAGTTTTATTTTTGATTTTTGTGGAGTCTTCACACTGTTTTCCACAGTGGCTGCACCAATTTACATTCCCACCAACAGTGTTCTCTTTTCTCCACATCTTCACCAACACTTGTTACCTCTCGTCTTTCTGATAATACCTCAAATGTCCTAGTCTTTAGTGTCTGGTTCCCAAAAGGGAAAAAGAGAGACAAATGATGGGGTAGATAAGGGGGAAGGGCCCAGACCTTTAAATTCCCTGGAAGTCATTTCAGCCAGTGGGGAGTGGACTTGCAACACTGAAAGAGGTGCAA